CGATTCGATTTGAACTGCCTGACAACTCGATTGGAACTCGACTCTTCGACGATTCGATTAGAGAACTCAATTCTTTGACGATTGAAAGGGAACTCATGTTCCTCGATTTTCCTAAGATCATTCTATCAGCCAAATATTATTAATATAATTATAAATATAATTGGCTGATTTGACCAAGGCCGTTCTGCGATTACCTCGAAGGAAGGGAAGATTCCCCCAAACGAATACGGTAGTGAAGGAAACCCTCTCTTCCATGGTGAGGTACGTGGGGTCCACCCGCGCGCTGATGACCCCATCGGCCGTTTATGGCCCCTCGCTAGGGCCTGAGACTCGCAACGTGTGCGGACCACGTGAAGTCCTTAGGCCCATTGTCAGCCAAGTCTTAAGAGCCGTCGCCTAATTTCGTTAAATTAGGCTTGTTGCGTCCCGAACACTGTAACTCACGCGGTGCGAGTTTCGCGGGGTTGTAAGGCCCGTTTACGCAGATGCGGCAATGTTGCGGGAATGCGGCCTACTCTAAATTAATAGAGCTAGGGCTGGTTATGGTTGAACTACAAGTTCCGATGCGTGACTGTCTCCTGCGCTGAGTTGATGGTGGGTTCTGGATGATAGTCTGGTCATGACGATTGTCCTGTTTTCGTGAGATTTTAGAACTCTCTCGTAATTGCTGTCTCGGTGGTTTCATAAGTTTAGTCTATCTACTGTTTGGTTCATGTGAAATGTAAGTGGCGGGTGTGTGTCTTCCTATTGGTTGTGAATAATATTGGAGGCGTGTGTTAGCTTCGACGTCTTTCTGTGGTAGTGGATGTTTAAATAATTTGGGTGGCTCCTGTGGCTTTTTGTGTTTTTAAGTTTCGTGTTTGTTCGGTTATTTCTTCCACTGTTAGTTCCTGTTCTGCATCATCTTCGACGTGTCTTTTCCTCATCGCAGTTTTTCTTTGTTCCGAACCACCTAGCAAGTTCATAAAATGTGTTTTCTGTTTGTTCGGTTATTTCTTCCACTGTTAGTTCCTGTTCTGCATCATCTTCGACGTGTCTTTTCCACCTAGCAAGTTCATAAAATGTGTTTTTCATCTTTCTATTGGTATATCGTTCCTTATCCTTATCCTTTTTTTTCTGTATTTATTTATTATTTTCCATGCTTCCGTGCCCGATCTTATTGCCTTTATTTCTGCCGTTAATTTTTCCGCTGCCTCTAACCTTTTCTTTTTACATAATTCTCTGTGACACTCTCTACTCCTTATATAGCCTTCTCTGTTTGTTTTCTCTGCTCTGAACCTTTTGTACATTCTGTTAATCCTTCTTTTACTTATGCATTCTAGATCAAACCATGGTGAATCATTCCTTCTCGCCTGTTCTCGCACTTCCTTCTTCGTCATGCAATTATCTACCGCTTCCCTCAGTTCCTCCCACATTTCATTTATTCCATTTTTCACCAGCTTCACTTTTTCTATCCTCCTTCTATATTGTTCTATTGCTTCCGTATTCTACATTGTGATTTTCCTCTTCTCCTTCTTCTTTTCTTTTGCTTGCTCTTCGCTGGGCCATAGCTTTATTATAAGTGGTAGGTGGTCGGATTCCGTTCTATTTCCTATTTCAAAGTCTTTGATGTTATTCCATGCTTGGGTGTTCGTGAAAGCATAGTCGATTATCGTGGCTCCTCTGCCTCCGATGAATGTAAACTCTCCTTCTTCATCCCCTGGTGTGTTTCCATTCAGTATATGTCATCCGTTTTCCTTCACCATTTTCCATAGTTTCTTGCCATCTTCATTTATAATATCTTCCGATTTCCTTTCACATAAGTTCCCTCCCCATTCCACTCTGTCTCCCTTTCTTCCTATCCTCGCATCGAAGTCACCGATTACCACCAAATTTATATCACATCCCGGATCTTCTCACAATCGTTGCAAGTAATTGTTCACTTCGTCTGATCCCGACTTCCTATATATTATTTTAAAAATCCATTTTTCCTGTCCTATCTTAGTTTTCCTTTCTACCATACCGGGGATCTCTATTATTTTATCTGTTTATTTCCATTTCTCTTTTATTCCCGTGATTTTGCCTCCACTTGCTCTTCCCTTCTCGTCTCTTCTGCAGGCTGGTCGACAGTGCCAGTTAAATCCTGTCGGTAGAGTTCTCTTTACTTTTATCCATTCTCTTTCCTCTATCTATGTTTCTACTAAACCTATTACTTCGTATCGAGATAAATCTTCCCATACTTCTTTCGGCTTTCCTTTTATTCCTGCTATATTCCATACTATACATTTTGCATGGTTTTTTCCTGTCTTCCTTCATTTCCTGGTACCTTTAAAAATTCTCCTTATCTTTTCCGTTCCGGTCTTCCCACTTTATCCACTCTCCTTCTACCCAGATCTTTTGATATCTTACCTTCGCCACTCTTCCTTCCATTCTTATCCTTCTCACTTCTGCTGCAATATTCCTTTGTACTTCTCTTTCCATGTAGGTGAGATCCTGCTCTATATAAATACTTTCTCTATCTAATTTCTTTTTGTTTCTCATGATGTTTTGTTTATTTTCCCAGGTGTCCACTTTTGCTAATATTAGTCCTTTCTCTCCTTTCCCTATTTTCTTCACCCAGAGTAACTCGCACTCGACTTCTATTTTCTCTAGTATGAAATGTTCCATCTCCCTTTTGGCATCTTGTTCCTTTAGTTCTGATCCTTTTACTAAGGATTAGAAATAATATTAGTTTTCTTTTCCCATTTCTCTTGCTTCTGTACGTATTCCTTTAAGAATCTCGTGTCTTTATCGTCGCTTCCTTCTTTCCTCTTTTCGTTCTTGTTTCCTATTTCTGCCATTATTTTCGTACACTTCTTACTTCCCCGTTTAGGTGTGCTTTTAGACTTTCCCTTTCTTTCCTCCGTTCTTCCTTTTCCTTCTTAGCTTCTTTTTCCAATCTATGTATATCCTCTTTTATTTCAGATATTTCTTCTTTGTCTCGTTCAAATAATTCTTTCTTTAATTCTTTTATCTCTTCTCTCATTGTTCTGTTTTCCTCTATCAGTTCCTTGACTGCTTTCACCAGTTCACTTATTATATCTTTCCCTTCTTCTTTTTCTTCGTAATTATTATTGTCATCTTCTTGATCCTGGTCCCGTTCTGTATATACCTGTGCCATTTCCTGCTTTTCCTCATCCTTCTTCCCAGTTTTGCCTCCCTTAGTAACATTCCCATATCCCTGCTTCCTTTTTCTTCTTTTTTACCTATGGTTATTGCTTTTAGAGGTAAAAGCGTATTCCTTATCTATTCATACCTCCTGAAATACCTGAGTCCCCCCCGCGTCTATTCCTCTTCTATCGTTCATCCCTCTCTCTACTATATACCTATAAGAATCCTAACCTCCATTCCTTACCGTCTAACTTATATCTCTAAATGCTCTTATACTTATTTCCTAACCTTTGTCCTATTTTCTCAAATCATCTGTTAATTTTTCCGGTTTTTTTTTCTTTTTTCTTATCACCTTCTTTCGCCGTTATGACCACAAAAATTCTCAATTATTACAATTCCTCTCCCACACTCTCTCTCATACGTGCACACACTTTCACCAACTTAAGCCGAGTCCTATTAATGGGATTATATTATTATCAATTTATATCAATTTATTATCAAAGTGTTTGGAGAATTTATTACGAAAAGTGTGCCAGCCAGTTTCTTTCCCTATCCCTATGTTCTTTTTCCTCTTCCTGGGTTTGAATTTTCCTATGGCTCTCCAGAGTTCGTTTATGGTCTTGCTGTTTTCTACCTCTTTCCATTTCTCTTCTTGCTTCAGGGTTTTCTTCCTGGCGTAGAGTTCTCTTAACTCTTTCCTCTTGTTTATTAGCTTTTGTCTGGCTGCTTCCCCTTTTGATTTCAAGTAAGTTGCTAATTATTTCCACAATTCCTTCCTTTTTTGTTTGCATTTGTCGTCGCACCACGCTTGTCCTATCCGGCCTGGTTTCTTCCTCGGCAT